TTTTTTTATTCTCTCAGATTTATCTTGTTTACTTGTCTACTCACTGCTTTACTGAAAATTGTCAGGCTGCTGTTGGTCTCATTGTCTTTCATATTTTGTTTTTACTGAATTATGTTTTCAACAACAAAATCCAGCCAGTCTTTCTTTCCGCTCTTTCCTGATATTTCTACCTTTGACCTGGCTTTGTAGCAGAGACACGTGTTTCATCCCTCACTCACCTTTCTTCATATTCACCTTTTAGTCATCTGCTATTTGACCACTGTGTGTGTGCCCAGCAGAGGCTTAAACTCATTCAGCACCAGTATTGTCATGCACAAGACTCAAGCAACAATTGCAGCTTTGAGCTTTGTGCCCAAAGTGTAAAGACCGATAGCACTCTCACGTGTGTATGGTAAATATGAATCCAGCAGAATGAACGCATTAAAGGAATAGTTCAACATTTTATCAAATTATTTGTTCATCTACTGTGTGTAGATTAAAGTTTGGAAATAGGGGAAACAGTTAGTCTCTACCCTCAGGTACTAAGGGGCCAGAAACTTCTTGGAGAAATAATTCAGCATGAAATAATCTGACCAATACCCTTACATTAAAATGGAGATTTGTCATTTTGACACTTTATCTTTCTTCTTTTGTATGGATTAATCTGACAAAACAATGTGCTAATTATGTGAAAGTGCTCAAAGTAGCTTAATGTTTTTCATACAGTTCTGAAAAAGGTATCGATAATTTCATCTCATCACCACTTGGTTACACAGTGAATGAGCAAATAATTTCCTAAAACACTTGGCTGTGCCTTGTTTTTCATGCTGATAATTTAAAAGTTAGTTCTGTAAGCCAATTTGGGCGGCACAGTGGCTCGGTGGTTAGTGCTGGTGCCTCACATCAAGAAGGTTCTAGGTTCAAGCCCTGCTCGACCCGATGCCTTTTTGTGCAGAGTTTGCATGTTCTTCTTGTGCCTGCGTGAGTTTTCTCTGGGTGCTCCAGTTTCCTCCCACAGTCCAAAGACATGTAGGGTAGGTTGAGTGGTGAATCTAGACATTATCCGGAAGGGCATCCGGTGTAGAAACAAACAAGTTTATTTCTCTTGTGGCGACCCCCAACAGGAACAACCAAAAGAAGAAGAATTCTATAAGTCGATTTACAACAAGTTGTACATCTACAGTACATCAGTTCCAAACATACTTGTCACCGTAGTTCTAGCCATTCTGAGGCAGTTTTATGGTTATAACTACTGTAGATAACTGGTCATGCAGAAAGATTCCCATTCTTATTCCTAGCTACAAAGCTTGGACTGGATATTTTTCCACCCAAAGGAAAGTAAAATGTAGGTGGTCAGGTGAAGAACCAGGGGAGAGAGCATATTCTGTCTCCAACAAATGCTTGCATAACTATAGTAAAAACATACCTGAAAAACAGTTACAAAAGACTTCTGTGCACATCTAGTTGTCTTTGTTCTTGATCTATTTCTCATTCTCTTTCACTTTCAAGCCTTTATTTTTCTCTTGGTCTTCAGACCACACATGCACATAATCCCTACACCTCTGCTCTCCTCACTAACAAAAGCCCCCAGATAAACTGAAGAGGCAACTGCCATGTTCTAACCTGTCATGTTTTAGTTCTATTCACTTGCTTTAAGTAAACTGTTCTACTGCTCATTAATCCCTAATGGCCCGCAGCGCTGTGAAATCTGACAAGGACAACTAGGCACCTCAGGTCACTGATGGTGCACTGCACTTTCTCTGTGACTTTTCTTTTGCCTCAAAATCTTTTTTCTTCCTTCATTCCTCAGTCACATTATTATTACATTCTTTCTTTAACTTTAAAACCCCAGGCAACATTTATCAAAATACAGTTCTCTTTTTATTTGAACCGCATTGTTTGCTACTAAACTCCTCAAAGAATGTTTTCTACATATTGTAGTGAAAGTTTCAGTACCACTGGTCAAGTGAAGTAGAAGAATGAAATTTAGCCAGTTATCATAAATCACAGATCCCTCCTTCCCTAATTTGAGTAGCACATAACTACCTATACCCTTTGACCCTTGGTTCAGAAAAACCTCCAAATAAACTTTTTAACATGAAAAAGAAAGTGTAACACTTTAAAAATTGAAAAGGAGGAGAAATCCTCCCTTCAGGCACGCAGTGAATTTTTGTGCTTATTGAGTATTCAGAATGGATTTACAATAACAAAATTAGACTACAGAGAAACAAAGTGACAATAAATTGCACAGAAATATGAAATAAATATGTATCTGGGAAGATTTCAAGCAACTGTTAGGGTGAAAAAGCCTAGTGAGAGTTAAATGTTGTCTAAACACAGATCTATATCATAAACAGTTTGATTAAAGGATAAACTTGTATGTATTTGAGAACATACTGCATTATTACTGTAATAACCATGTGAGGGTTTGTTTCAGAAATGTTTATGAAGTCAGATGAAAACCACTGTTGGTGATAAACATAATCTATCTGTTTAAAAGATGCATATATATTCTCAGACATCACATCTGTCACTGTATAACAACCCATATATGTTCAAATTTAGCTTCCTTTCTGGGCTGAGGGAAGTCGTGGATTTTTAAATAAAGCCATATAAAATCCACTCACTGTCACAAAACTGAACCCAAGACTGTTTTTTTAAATGTGATTTTCATGGGAAAAGTACGTTATATACTGTAATTATATGTTAAATATTTTAGTTTTATGGCAAAACCCAAAAATAGTGAATGTTTGGGAATTTAGAGTGTAAAATTGATTAACCAACGGCTGGATTCGGCTGTTGAAATGTCTATCTGATGGAAAAAGAAATGTCTATCTGATGGATTTGATGTCTATCTGTATTTCACTTTCCACCAAGGTGGAAAGTGAAATACAAACCTGGCCTCTTTTTAGAAGGTGGAAAGTGAGGAGGGAAAAGGAAGCTTTGGCCTCTGCACTTTCAGTCTGACTTCTCTTTGAACCTTTCTTTGACAGAGGAGGAGCGTGCGAGAACAGCAGTGCTCTGTTTCCTCTGTGGTCAACCAGCAGCTACTGGGGCCTCAAGCCATGCAGGGGCCAGCACTTTGGTTTATATTTAAACAAGCAATAATTCCTCCCCACCACTTCAATGGAATAGAAGGGTGAATAAAATTAAACCTAGCCTATAATTCACAGGATGAGATTTTAGGAAAAGCAAAAGGGTCGAGGCAAACAAGTTGTTAAAACACAGAGGAGAGGGAGCCTGCTGAATGGAGGGGTGTCAAGTGGTGGGTGGCGTGGGTTAAAGGAGTAAATAAAATATATGTCATTTGTCTTCATAAGTTGGAGATCTCTCTAGCAGCTTTGTTGGATTTAATGGATTGGAGAGAGTTTTGCACTGTCAGGATGTAAATCACACAACAGCATGAGCTAAACCCACAAAATCTACAATGTGAATGTAAATAGAGAAAGTTGAGCAAAGAGAGAGAATAGAGGCAGTAAGGACTAAAATCCTAGTTAAAGCCATGCAGGAGGCTTACTGTTGGCATGATGAAACTGAGGCCTGCTTTTACACCAGCCTCAACTGCAGTATATGGCGTATAGTGAGAAGAAAAAAATACTCTTTTCACGCAAAGCAGACCTTGCTGCTTACTCAAAGTTCTCTTGTGCAAGGAAGTGGTTTGCAACTCCATGTGAAAGAGAAGATATTGTTTTCCAGACCTCTCCCGCGATGCTATTTCAGAATTGTCATCTCAACATAGTTAGCTGAACCTGTCATTTTAGATACCAGAAATAAGTTCATGTGGTTGTGCTTTATAAGAACAAAGAAAGCTGGAAATGAGGTAATCACAGCTTAAAAACAAGGTTAGTTCTTGGGGGGGTCAGAACGCTTGGTAGTGATAAGAGGTACTGTATATTACAAGATTATCTCTCAGGTCACATGGGAAAAAAACATTCAGCCTTGTAGCATCAAATGGCAAATACATTCAGCTGTACACTGCAATCCTGATGACCGGTCTGTCAACAGAACGCCACCATGTTTCTAAATAATACTTAGATACTCTTAGCCTGGCTTGGCAGCTTTTTTTTTTAGCTGCCTGTTAGGCATTTATTTCTGTACAAGTATAGTTTAGTTATTAATGCAGGAGTTTCTAAATGACCCACTCTTCCATCTGAGCTACAGCTTGACATGTAAAAATAACTGGCTGGAAATATAATGTAATCAGGTTTACAAGTCCCCTCCTTGAACCACCACCTTATTGTGGTGGAGGGGTTTGAGTACCCGAGTGATCCTAGGTGCTACAGTGCCTTGCGAAAGTATTCGGCCCCCTTGAACTTTGCGACCTTTTGCCACATTTCAGGCTTCAAACATAAAGATATAAAACTGTAATTTTTTGTGAAGAATCAACAACAAGTGGGACACAATCATGAAGTAGAACGAAATTTATTGGATATTTCAAACTTTTTTTTCCTAGGGAGGTGTTCTGGGCATGTCCCACCGGGAGGAGGCCCCGGGAAAGACCCAGGACACGCTGGAGGGACTATGTCTCTCGGCTGGCCAGGGAACGCCTCAGCATTCCCCCGGAGGAGCTGGAGGAAGTGTCTGGAGAGAGGGAAGTCTAGGCATCTTTGCTTAGACTGCTGCCCCTGCGACCCGGTCCCGGATAAGCAGAGGAAAATGGATGGATGGATGGAGGTTTACAAGTTTCACATTGTGCATTTAGAATTCTCTTACATAAAAAAAACTAAATTCGTAATTCCTCAATGTTGACTCCAGTCCCTCCAACACTGCTCCGCTAATGAAGGGGACAGTTGGACTCAGGACATTCTTCTCCCTGTGAAATGTATGTCCTTGCCTATGTCTATGTACTTGTTTCTAGAAGGAAACAAGTAGCTTTGTATATGATTGAGCCTTTGTTTTCATACTGTCAGACACCTAGACACAATGAAAATAACTGCACCAGGACCTGGACTGACCTCAGGTCTCAGTGGGCCAACGTGCATCTGTCATCCCTACATTTGTGTCAGATCAGCATCCTGTTTTTGAACCTTTACCAAACCTTTGTCGAACGCTGTTCCACTCACTGGGTTTCAATCCTTTTTATTTTTCTTTGTGTTGTTTAAACACTTAATAAAATATAAATGGCAACTTTGTGCTTTAGTTATGATGATTAGAAACTGCTTTTTAAAACATATTGGCTGTTTAAACCCATAATGGTTGTAAATATGGATTTACAACTAATTGTTTATGGCCCCTCAATGAGCTTAATTAGAAAGAGCTGTGTTCACTTTCTCTAGTCAATTTGTTTTTTTTCCATGTGTGTTCATACATCATGTCTTTGTGAAAAAACCTCACATACAGATACCATATGCCAGTTAAAGTCAGTGGTCCATTTAAGTACTTGTTCCTGATTTTTTTTTTTTTAATGAGAGCTCTTATCTGCTACTTATAGCTTTATTCACACCAGCTTGATGTGTCTCTGAAGGATTGTTTTGCTTCCCTATCTGAAGCCAAGCTTGCAGAGCACTGCTAATTGGTGGAGTGTTGCACCGTCGACATTCACAAGCTGCTAATAGCTTCCAGTCCATGCTGTTAGCCACTGCCAAGGCGCAGCAAAGAAGAATCACAGCTATTCCTTCTGCTCAGAGAAAGGGCTGTTTAATTCACTTACAGTATACTTCTGTGGCGCAACAGTGTATGACCCAGCCTTTCTCCATAAATGTTCCTTCCACATTTGTGTCTGTTTATCACAGTAGGTGCCAAATAAACCAAAGATATGCTTGGTCTTTACAAAAACAGCCTCATTATAATGACTCGGATCTGTGGCATGAACACAGCTATGTATTTTTGTGACCTGTGGTGCAGCCATATCAAACCACTGCCATCTTATTTTAAAGTCTACACCAAAGGGACTTGGAATTATCTTACATAGGGTGCTGGGTCTTCGCTGCGTTATACCTGTTATTCAGTGTGAACATGCCAATACACTTGCTGATGTATTTCACCAATTAATTTCTTTAATATGTGCCTAGCCAAAGTGGAAAAGACTATATCCACTTGAAATGTTGTTGCTTCTTCTTGTGGTACCCAGCTAGAGTATTTTCATGGTTGGAAATACTCATGGTTAAATACCTGTAACCTTGTGAAATAAACACTTTGAAATAAAATTATATAAGTTTCTTAACTGATAACTTTTATCTGTGGTTTTTAAAGTGCCATGAACACTGACATTTTTAGAATAAGTAGTCAGTACTGTAGAAAACAAAGAACTTAACCACAAATCCTCGCTATGTCAGTGCCATGGCCTCTGATGAAAGGAAAGCCTTTCCTCTTCTAACCCTCATTTCTTAGTGGATTCCTTTCTAATTCTCTGTTATAAGTCATCAAAGGGAAGATCCAGATTCCTGGAATCATTTTCTTTTTCTTTTCAAGCATTGCTGTCGCTCCAAAAGCTTTAAGACCCAGCTGTCGGCAGCCTGTTTTCAATGCTCCACAAGGCTGCATTTTTTAAAGTGTCACAATGTTGCCTTCTATCTGTCAGTCACATAAGATTAGAGTGACCAGCAGGCTGACGTGTTGGACAAACGTAACATCACAGGACTGAAAGCTTTAACAGATTAGCCTCTTGAAGACCAACACCCCAGGTATCAGTCTCTTTGACTGCTCTCTGCAGCCTGGAGAACTGGAAGTGTGAAACAAATAATACTGTTACCTACAGGAGCTACAAGGACAAATACTGTTATGTAAAGTGAGCAGAAGAGGTGACAGGGATGTAATCACGTTTGAAAAATTATGCAAATAATTCCCATACTCCTACAACAGCAGTGCATGGAACAGATACATCCAGTACCACAGACACTACTGGAATTCAGATGCATGATGAGATTTGATTGCTGATATTTTTTCTGAACCTGAGATTAGAAATGCAATTACACCTATAAGTTAGGAAGAATATCAGGGTAAAGTTACTGTAAAAAATTAAATCTGTATTTATGTTAAAGAGGTGACTTTTTTAGTTGCAGTGACAAACTGCAAATGTGTGCACTTTGTAGGTCAACAACTGTAGAAAATCCTTGTGTTTGTGAGTTTGTATCTTTATTTGCCGTATAGAAAATAGTTTGCCTAATTATTTAAATGTACAATTTCCAGTCCTTCCATTTGGCCTTTATCTATAAAAAACAACCCCATAAGTTGCTTGTGTAAGCAGCTTAGTAAGTGTTACATTTTACTGTTAGGCAACCTCTGGAGGCAGGAACACACCCAGCGCTTCCACAGTGTTGGCTGCAGTTGACAAATGAGCCTCTGGGAGGAATATTAAAATATGAATTTTGTTTCTGGAGGAGTAGGGTTTCCATCAGCTCTCACACTTAGACAACGGTCACCCATTACATCCAGTGTGGGGAAGCTTTAATGTAAAATGTCTGTCTGTAATGTTCAGGGTTTGTAGTCACAGTACTTCTACACATTAGCAGAGAAAGAGTTTAAATTGGGTCCCAGTAGGCTTGGAATGGTTTCTTTTTTTCTCCACTCAAGTCTGAACCAGTGTAGCATTTAATGAGCATGAACCCAATTTAAACCCAATTTTTTACCATGACATAAAATAAGTCAAACTCCCTTTCCTTTTATATTTCAACAGTTCACATTCACATTGTGCTGCAGACATAAAACACATCATGTTACTGCTGACAAAGCTGTTTCTTCTGTGTATAGTAAGTGTCTTGTTTTAGTATTTGTACCCTACAGGAACAAAAGTTTACAAGTTGTAGAATGTCACAGAAAGCGATTCTAAGTATCACCGGGCAGCTGCTGATGAATGAGTGAGGTTGTTTTGGACGTGGAGACTACTATACATGCCTGTAGTCTTTTGGACAAACTTTGTGATGCTGAGGGACTTTTGTGCAGCGAAAAGAAGATTTAAACATCACACAATCACACACACATTTTATTGTTTGTTTAAAGACTTGTTCAGTATACAGGTCTTTAAAAAAACATATAAAAGCTGAACCCTACATCTTATACATTTTTCTCTATGCACTGTATAAATGACCTTTCATCTGCTGGTTTTCCTGCAGAGTGTATCAGAGCCTGACATTCCTGCAGCGGTTCCTCCAACACTGCAGGGTGTTGAGGAGTTGTCAGAAGTTGTGGCAGGGCTGAGCACAGTGGAGGAGGTCATGAAATACTTGGAGCCAGAACGATGGCAGCTGGATATGGAGGAGTTATACAAACCTACGTGGCATGTGCTAGGGAAATCCTTCATCCACAACAAGAAAGCCAGAGGTAGGGCATTGTACATTAATCATGCTGAGTTAAATACAGTCAACGTTACATGTAACTGTTTACAATTAAACATAACATAAAATAAAGTACGAATATTAGAAAGGCCTCAGATTGCCTAAGTGTGCTATTTGTATTTATATATTTGCATATGAAAAACGCAGTTAGTTTGTTTCGACATGAAGTGATTCTGATTATGTCTTTTCTGTGTCTTTGAGGAGGAGCTGATCTCAATCTGTTGAGGGAAGAAGTTCGACTATACAGCTGCTCTCCACGTAACTTCTCTGTATCTTTGCGTGAGGAGCTAAAAAGAACAGATGCCATTTTCTGGCCCAGCTGCCTCCTGGTGAAGCGCTGTGGTGGAAACTGTGCTTGCTGCTCTCACCGCTGCTACGACTGCCAGTGTGTTCCCACCAGGGTCACAAAGAAATACCATGAGGTAAATATCAGTTTGATCACAAAATGTCTGAATAATTTGGCACTTTTGACCATAAGATGGCATGAATACTGAGATCAAAAACATGGAAATCTAAGCATCTGATGAGATTAAGCCACTAAATTTAACAAATTACTCTTTTGCAAAGAAAAGTCCATTTTGTCCTTTTAGTGAACTCGAAACAAGGTAAAGACTGATACATTTGAAAAATAATGGGTAAACAAAGCGGTTGATTTCTCCTCCCCACTGAGCATGTTTTGATGTCCAGCTGTTGATTAGCATCTTTGTTTTTGGCAGGTTCTGCTGTTGAAACATCGCAGTGGGGGAAGAGGCCTGCAGAAGTCCTTGTCTGATGTTCCCTTGGAGCACCATGAGGAGTGTGCCTGTGTGTGTAAAGACGACTAGGACTGACCTCTGATGTCTAATAGCTGCCACTGGAATCGCACAGGACTTTGGAAATGAACATTTGCCGCTGCTGCAAAGTTCTGTATCTCATCCCCTCCCACTGGGAGCCAACAAGATTCTCCCTTTATCCTGTTGTCCTTTTCTAATTGGATGGAGCAGAACAGACTGGAATCTAATAAATCTTCTGAATGGATTTGACTGCTGTGGAATATCAATACTGTGCTCTTAGTACATTTAAAGAGACAAAAATTCACTGGAGCCGATCTGGACTATTACCTTTGTGCTCTGAAGACTATTTTCTTCAGCTCTGCAGAGATAAGAATGTTGAGGCCTTTTGTCTGTTCTTCTTAAGGTCTTTTTTAAAGTTGTCCCAGAGTGGGCTGATAATGTCATAGAAAATGGGAGCTTCTTTGTTCATGTATTTCTTTATGTCTATTAGTGAGCTGGCTCCAGCCGCCTTACTCCCTCTGCTCCTCTATTATTACATTCAAGGCAAAGGAAGGTGTTTTTATTAGCACTTCTACCTTTCTCTTCTCTTGTTTTACCACAAATGTAATGTGTGGTGAAATGCAGCCACTGTATCACCAAAATGCCATGAGAATGAGACTCTATTATGTGTAAATAATTCATTTGCTTTTCTGTATTATTGTGTCTTTTCTACCAAAGATTCTCATGGAAAAGATAAAAGTTGCACATGTAGAACCAGCTGGGTGCTGTTCGTTACAGCTCTGCATTAAACCCGTTTCAACATTAAAGTTACAAGCCTGTTTGCTTCAGGAATACCTAGCATCAAGCAAATCTTCCTGCATTTTAAACTGTTCATAATAAATATTTATTTGCTTAAAAAAGGGAATTTTTGGTCCAAATTGTCTTGTTTACAACATATGTCATTTTGCTGTAGTATTAGTCTGCATTTCCACTGTTAGTCATTTTTTTCACCATGTCATGGATGTGTTTCATTTTCTGTATGCCAAAGCTATTTATCTCTACTTTTGTGCATTTCATTGTACTGAACATGAAAAATAAATGTTTCCATTTCTAATTGGAGGTACAGTGCTGGGAATGATGAACACTGAACAAACTCAACAAAGATGGAGAAGATGAGGAATTGCCTTTGCTTCTCTAATGATTGAATGATTTAAAGAATATCATTTGCCATATTTGTAACTGTGTCCATAGGGTTTTGTACTTGTGAGTTACTCTGTTTTTTTTTTCCCCCTCACATCACCTTTTATCCAAATATTTCAATAATGAACACATCTCCCTTGAGCACAGTCTTTTCTTCTGTATTCCACAATCTCCTCATCAGATACCGAGCAGCGTTGTTGCTGTTCATTCTTCCCCCCCAGGACATCAGGTCACCCAGGAGGAGGTTCACATTTCTCACTGCTGTCCTGGCCAATTATTCTGATCTAATGTTCAGCCTGGCAGGCATCTGCGGTGACGCCAGATGCTACTGCATAAACTTGTCGGCTCCCAGTGCGGTTTTTATAATATTAAACAGACCGCCTGCTTTCCTTAGTCAGTGCAGCATTTCTTTACAGAGGAAACCTCACTGTACTGGCACAAGATGTGACACAGTATGTGTGAGCGGATGTGAGTAACTACAGACCAGCACTTGATGATTTCACCCTTCACCAGCATGCCCCTCTACTCATTACCTCCTTCACTGTGTAACCAAAGCAGCCATAATCAAGCTAGACCACAGCATCATGGCGCAATTTAAGCATCTGTACTTAACACAAGAGACAGGATTTTAATTTGTTTTGTTTGAGGGAAAAAAACAACTCTTAGGCTGCACACTGGTTTTAGAGAAATAACCTGTTAGTGTACATTGTAGTTACAAAAATATCCAATCAAAAAAGTTTGACTGAATACTTACCATGAATGGTAACAGCCACTTTGGGCCGAACAGACAAAGAAAAGGGCAATGTGAACAGAAACTCAAACTCTCTGAAAAGAAAATCTAAACTGTGCATTGCATAACAGAAGGTAGTGCAGCAATTAAACCACAGAAGTCATCAAAATAACAGCATCACAGAATCTCACTTTCCTTTAATACTTCAGAAGATTGACACTTACTTTGACCAAAGGCTTTTCCTGACTTCTCTAAACATGAATCATCTTTATGCCAACACACTCAGCTCCAACATCTTCTCCTACAAAGACTTATTTTACGAAATCACAGGACTAACCTATAATAAATTGCAGCCTTGACCTTTCCTCTGCATATCTGAATAGCTGAAAAGAGTTACCATGCTACACCTCCATGCAACTTAATAATGAGCAATTATAAATCTAATCTGGTTCCTTCATTGCCTGTATAAATCCATTTGAACTTATCAGCCACTATTTTGTTACAGAGATGCCATGCTGACTTACTGTTTCTGACTTTTATTTTGGTGCACTTCCCCTTCCAATCCAGCACTTGTCAGTCCCAGCTTTGCTGCACTGATTACATTCACCTGTTTTCAATCAGCAATCAACCAGCTAGTTTATTTCCAGCCTTCTGTGTTCATTCCTTGCATGATTGTTGTGTCACTTACACTTCAGATTTTCTTGCCAACTTACCTGCTGTGTTGTCTGCCTGGCTCTCTGTGTGCTACCTGTTACTGACCTACTTCTGCCTTTGGGCCTGCACTCTGTTTGCCCATTTGGATTTCCCTGTTTGGACTGCTTTTATTCCCCTAGGTCTGGTCCGTAGCTTGCCTCCTGCCTTCTCTGGTTGCCTTAAATACTCTACCTGTTTTGAATTGTTTCTGGACACCGTCTTTTGCCCTCTTATGTCCCTTTGTTGTCACTGGCGCTGTGCTCTGTGAAAAGGCTGCTTACCCACCTACAGGATTTAGTTGCAAAGACTGTTTATTCACCTATTAATCTGCAAAACTGCTTACTCCCTTGTGAACTTGCGAACAGAAAATGTTTACACACCTGTTACTTTCTAAGAAAAAGTGTTTAGTCATCTGTTTACCTGCTAACAGATACATTTACATCTTGCTAATTAACTTCCTGAAGTGTCTTGGTTTTCTGGCAAAAGGCATGTTGTTAATCAGTGAGCTACCAACTTTAAAGATGTAAAACAACTGTATTTTCCAAAATGTCAAATTATGCCTTTGTCCTCCATTCACATTACATTCTAATATCCTGTTATGAGTCTTCAGTGATTTCCACTTTAGATTCAGGCTTAGATGTTTGCTCACTTACTGTCTTTCTGCTTGTTTTGCAGAATGCTGAGAATAAACGCAACATGTCATATTTGTCTCCTCCCAAGAGCCTAAAAACCCTCTGGCCCTGTCTGAAATCTCAACCACCAGCACTTTAGTCAGTTACTGCAACAACAGCGGTTTTAAAGTTTGAACATACTGTATCTTTGTCATTTCCCATTGCTGATGAATATTCCTGGACTACATTCTTGGTAAGTGAATATACAGTAGGGCAGCACGGTGGCGCAGTGGTTAGCACCATTGCCTCACGGCGAGAAGGTTCTGGTTTCGGGCCCCACCCGGGACCTTTCTGTGTGGAGTTTGCATGTTCTCCCCGTGCTTGCGTGGGTTCTCTCCGGGTACTCCGGCTTCCTTCCACAGTCCAAAGACATGCAGCTTAGGTTGATTGGTGTCTCTAAATTGCCCCTAGGAGTGAGTGTGTGTGGTTGTTCATCTATGTGTTAGCCCTGCAATGGATTGGCAACCTGTCCAGGGTGTACCCCGCCTTCGCCTGATTGCCGGCTGAGATTGGCCAATTTTGAAACAATAAAATCTTTAAAAAAAAAAAAAACGCATGTGAAAATATCAAAGCATCCCTCAGAAAAACTTATTCTGAGTTATTCTCCAATGCTGCAAAAAAGCTAAATGCAGTCCAGAAAGTGTTCTATATTCCTTTGGTTTACCTACAAGATGAAGTCCTAGATTCACTACAGCCATTGCATAGTCCTCGCATTTGCACTATCAATCTACCGTTACTGGAAAGTGACTATAAATTTTGACGTGCAACCTGGGAATCGATTGCAACTTCAGATCGTTTATAACTGTGCCGGGTCTCTGAGCACAGACAGATGGGGGAAAATACGATAGCCTCATCCAGATAACATCTCCAGCATTCCTAATTGTTTCACAGTATATGGATGGAAAGGCCAAATGGATAAGTGCACACACTATGTTTTACAGGGTGCTGCTGCACTAGGGGTTTTTGGAGAACTGGGTGTCCCTGTTGTAAGGTCCACAACTTTAGCATAGTATTAATCATGGGTCAGGAAATTATTTACAAAGCACCACAACAGAGGAGAGCTCAACCATAAATATACAGTATACTGTAGGTTAAATCATTTGACAGATATTGTATCTCCCATTTCAGCCTTATCCTCATTATATCCAGTGTTTTACCATTCCACCTTACCACACCAAGAAAGGTCGTTACCCTAATCTCTGTAATACATCTAATACATACAATCTTATCAAACTGATAGAGTGATAATACTAGAAAATTACCTTAAAATTTAATATTTAGATGCTGTCACAGCTGTGGGTCACAATGCAATCAAACATTCAATGATCATCACTGAATTTAAAAAAAGTCATCAGGGGTAAACTGTTTCTGATTTAGGCAAGCTGTCACCGCCTCTGTTTTAAATGTATCATATCACTTCTGACTGGATGGGTCACGCTATGCCCAAGCACGTTTAGCCCATGATCATGTGAGCTACATTAATGGCACAGCTTATCTGCTACAACACACACAAGCAACATGGTGGCAGCGTTGTAGATATACCTCGGTATCGGGATTGATGAGCTCTGACAAGACTCGCACAGCAGACACTAATACGTAGTCGCAAACATCAAAACCCACCAACGGCCATGAGGGAAATGCATCCTTAATAGGAAGTCTGGTCAAAAGTCAATGATTCCTGTCATCCAATTAATTAGGTGTTTTGCTAACCCTGAAGGTAAACGTTGTCAGCCTCTAATGATGAATTAAAACTAAGTGAAAAACAGCAGTCATTTCTTTTAGTCATTGGTATGCTATTTTAATAGTCTGAATGGCAACAAAATAAATATGAATGACTGAAATATTCTTTTTTCCATTTCTCTGAGTAAAACTAAAGATGCCTGGGCCCCAAGCCAGAACAGTCAGTCTAGTTACAGTATACCAATAACACTGATTTAAAAAATTGTATTATTTTTAAGTTGTGATTTCCACTCAAGGTTGACAAAGTTACAAATACACCTGTGAACACCTCAGCTTTGGCCATTTTGGCCTGAACTGTGTCTAATGCAACAGACTTTATAAAGATGTGAGAGGGTCCATCAGAAGCTACTGAACATAAGGTGAAACACACTTGCACCTGTGGTTCGGAGGTAGAGGAAAATGTGATAACTACCAAATTACTGCAAGGAGACAGCATAAAAAACATTATCCAATGTCCGTGTTAGATATGAATAATGAATTGAACTTCATGCATGGATCTGTCAACATTGACAGGGTTGAAGAAGAAAAAATTGTTGCACAAAAGTGTAAGATTAAATTTTACCAGTGAACATGAGACGAAGCCTAATGAATACTGACAGCACATTCTTTGGTCAAAATAAAGCAAGATAAATGAGCCTGGATCAGATGGGGTCCAGGATGTTTGACGTGCACCTGGCCAGGACTACCGCAGTGACTGCATAGTGCTGGCAGTGAAACATGGAGAAGGGAGAGTGCTGATTATAGGTCTGCATGAGCGTAAAGGGGGTAGGGGAAATGTTTTACAGATGGCACTATGAATGCAGGTTTGCATACCCAGATAATGAATGAAAAGATGACTCCTAGTCTCAAGAAGCTTGGCAGGAGAAGAATTTTCCAGCATGACAACAATCCTAAATACACCGCAATTATAAAAAATAAAAATAAAAAAAAATGAAACACTTTTTAAAGAAACAAGCGAAAACTATAACATGGCCAGGAATGTCCCTGACTTTGGAATGAGAAGCTGAAATGATTCATGTGAAGAAAAGCAGA